AGATCTTTTTTTCCTAACTGAAGCAAACATTTTTCAGATGTTTATTTTTTCCCTGAAAATTTTTTTCTACATATTTACATTCCATAACCAAAATATAATATAAAGACAAAACAATTTCACAGTTGCCCTATCTCAAGACTATTTGAAAAACATTGCCTGACACGTGAGGTGCTAAGTTTCAGGAGTATGGGGTTCCACATCTGTTCTTTTACTGATGTCGTCTTAAGTGCTGGGCTTAGAACAGGAGCTCAGTAAACCACTTTTGAGTGACAGAAGCTGACAGGCTGATCTAGATATTTAGTCCCCGCCCCCTTCGTTGTAAGTTGGGGGTGATTGTGGCAAGTTTTCCCTTGAAGAATCCAAATTGTTGTTTTGACTCTTCAATTTAGTAATATTACCCAGAGCTTAATGTGATCATTACAGGCCTAAATTTTTTTCAGGAATTGACTTCTAGAGGCAGTAATACTGTTGATAAACAAAATGAAATAGATTATTTTGCTTCAGTACTTTCCAGAGCCATTCATGTTAATGTGCATTGAAAATTCCTAATAAGCATTTCTCAAACATACATGACCCTGCAACCCCCTCCTTTTCATGGAACATTTGGGTTCTGTGAACTTTGAGAAAAGCTACCCTATGTTATATTTCACTTTCCCCATCTCTAAGGAAGACCCACAATTATCTGCCTCTAGAGCTTGTTTATTTGTGAAATATAATCAAGATGTGTGTTTGAAAATCATTCCATATATTGTTTTAAAATATCAGTCATAAATAACTTGTAAAAAGGTTCAGATGAAAAAAACTCTTTGGCGATTAGGGCGTAAAATGTTGCTTTACCTTCTGAAACTCCACTTTTCAGGAAGTTACAACATATGTCTTCATTTATGTATTTTTTTCTCTATTCCAGATTAGTGCGTTGACTTTCTGAGCCATGTGCATTTAGTATCTCAATATCCATATATCACATTCAACCATATCAGGACTTAATATGGACTTCCATAGTCCTCCTTACATATATAAGGTTTTAGTCATATATCTTAGTGTTAGCGATTTTTAAAAAGGAAAATGATAAAATTCCTTCCCTCTAAATTCTTTGGACTGACACAGTTGAAAAGTAGTAGACATGCCAGCCATTATGTTTGCTTTTTATTTTCATGTTTACATTTCCTCAGTCCTTCTCTGGTTTGGCATTTTGAATATCTTCTTGGGCACAACCCAAAACTGTCTGATATAGCTGTATTTTTTGTATCAGTTTTCCTTTGAATCCTAATGATATTCTCCTACTTACTTTTCTCTGTGCTCATGATGTGAGGTATGAGCTCTGTTGCCCTTGAAATTGACTTTCTACATAAGAACAGAAATATAGGCTGGGCACAGTTGTTCACACTTGTAATCCCAGCACTTTGGGAGGCTGAGGTGGGTGGATCACTTGAGGTCAGGAGTTCGAGACTAGCCTGCATGGTGAAACCCCATCACTACTAAAAATACAAAAATTCGTTTTATGTGGTGGCACAGGCTGGTAATCCCAGCTACTTGGGAGGCTGAGGCATGAAAATTGCTTGAACCTGGGAGGTGGAGGTTGCAGTGAGCCGAGATCACACCACTGCACTCCAGCTTGGGCAACAGAGCCAGGGAACAAAGACGTTTGTGAGAAAAAAGAAGGGTGTTGCTTAATTTGAGAAAACTAGTAAAAGTAAAAATAATTTCAAAATATGTTTGGTGAAATTTTAACTTAAGATGTCAAGAAGCTTTGCTATGTTAAGAAACTTTCTATCTCAATCCAGTTCTGATTTTTCTTTAGTAGTATGTAATTCTTGAGTCCAGTGAAAAGTTGCATCTAAGCCATTTAGAAATTGTCAGTTGTAGTCCTTGCTCACTAAAGCCTCAGGAGTTTACTTTCTCAGTAAAACTCAGAAAACTGAGGCTTGCGAGGAAGCAGAGTCGTCTCCTCTTGCCTCCATGATTGGGCATTGGAATTCCACCAAGTGTTACGAAAAAATTCAGGTCTAAGATGTGAAGATGTCAAAGTGTATTGTGCCACACACACATACCCACCGACACATATATTTATATAGGTATATATATGTATACATACATACACATTTTATGGTCACTTAGATTTGAGTTGAAAATCCATCGAAATTTTATATAGGAAGAGCTGGGATATTAGCCCTTACCTTCACACTTACTTTACAGTTCAGTTCTTCTAAAGATTGTACTTAGTTATTTGTAAATGCTTAAATATTGCACTTGGGTATTTGTAAATCTCATCAACAACCAATTTGTATCTCAATAGAGCGAAAAAAATCTATATCATATTGATTAGAGTTTTAATTGAAATAACTTTTTGTATGTTTTAAGGTGAAAATATAATCTTAAGGCTTCCATGGGAATGAACACAAATGTTAATAGTGGGTATATATGAGTGGCGGGATTATGAATAATCATAATTATCTATATAGCTTTTCAATTGTTGTTTAATGAGTTTTGATTTTATAGCCTGAAACATGTTGATTCAAAATGACTCTTAGTTATTTGGAAAGTCCCTTCTGAACTTCTAGAAGTTCTTTTTCCGTAGCACTTCCATTATTGCCTTTCTTTTCTTTCTTTCTTTCTTTCTTTTTTTTTTTTTTGAGACAGAGTTTCGCTCTTATTGCCCAGGCTGGAGTGCAATGGCACGACCTCGGTTCACCCTCCGCCTCCTGGGTTCAAGTGATTCTTTTGCCTCAGCCTTGTGGCTGAGATTACAGCCATGCACAACCATGCCCGGATAATTTTGTATTTTTAGTAGAGATGGGGTTTCTCCATGTTGGTTGGTCAGGTTGGTCTTGAACTCCCTACCTCAGGTGATCCACTCGCCTCAGCCTGCCAAAGTGCTGGGATTACAGTCGTGAGCCATTGCACCAGGCTGCTTTTCTTTTTATCTATGGAGTTCTTACAGCTCAGGACTTAAGTAAGTCGCTAAGTATCACTCCCCATGTTTGTAAGTTTGACTGTCTTAGCACAGTACTATAGACTGGGTGGCTTCAATAATGGAGATTTGTTTTTCTCACAGTTTTGGAGGTTAGAACGCCGAGATTAGGGTGCCAGCATGATAAGACTCTGGTGAGGGCTCTCTTCCTGGCTTGTAGATAGCTGCCTTCTCCCCGTGTCCTTTCTTGGTAGAGGGAGAGTGAGCAGCTTCCTGGTGTCTCTTCTTATAAGGGCTCTAATCCCATCATTAGGGCCCTACTCTCCTAGCCTCATCTAATCCTAATTACCCACCAAAGGCGCCATCTCCAAATACCATTACATTGAAGGTTAGAGCTTCAACATATTTATTTTTGGGGGACTCAACATTCAGTCCATAACACTTTTTAAAATTTAAACTGGTAGTATAGAAGATTTCCATAAATGGCATCTAAATAGAAAAATACTGGCAGAATATACAAGAAAGCATTAATGGTAGTTATTTCTAGACAGTAGGATTAGAGGTTTTCTCCATTTTCTGTGAATTCAGAGTATATTGCTTTTATAACAGAAAAAATACAATAGGTATTATTTTTAAAAGAAAATGAAATACTACAGAATGTTCCATTTCCTAATAATCTTGGAATTTTCAAAATCTTTTTATTTCATCTTCTTGAAATTTTTCTGAGAATTAATAAAAGTGTCTGCAGAACATAGAGCACTCAGTTCTTGGCACATAATAGAGTTGCATAAATTTACTGGTCCTCCTTTTCCTCCTTTTAACCTGATGACAATGTTAATGATAATAACAATGATAATTACTATATTGCCATAGGAGATATACCATTGGGCATATATTATAGGCAAATAAAGTAGACAATAGCCACAAAGTCAGGGCAGACACATTTGTTGCGAGGTTTTTAAAAATGAGTTACTTATAAATAGAATAGCCTATTCATTGTCTTTACTTTTGGAATTCTTAGTCTTTTTGATTCTGAGAAAATGAATTGGTTAAAAAAGTTGGTAGATTGTTCTGAATTAGCATTCAGTTACAAATTAATATGAGCTCCTTAACTCTGTGCAATAAAATGGCACGCAGATGTGACACTGAGAAAACTTGAAGTCAGTTTTTGATATGTCAAACTTTCATTCTAAAAACTGATTGAAGCGTAATACTTACTGTTATGGAAAATTTTTTTGTCATTTTTTTTTTGTTTTGGTTCCTCTATAAGAGCTCTCTCTTCTCTACTTTCTAATGCATTGTTTCTAGTGCTCTATCTTGTGTATGGAGTCTGTCATTGGTAACTTTTTCCCAATTAATTCAACATCTGAGTGTAATATTTCTAGTTGTTGGCTCCATAAATCAATAGGTTGAAGTGCCCTGCAAGGTAGTCATGTTTTTTGTCACGTAGGGACCTGACTGCTCGCCAAATAAATTATGACATTATGATGTACTATTTCCAATCACTATAAATTTTCAATATTTAGTGTATCAGTCATACCAAGTCAAGATCCAGTTATTTAGTTTCACTTACATCTGTATTTTAGATGAGAATCCTTTTTCCCATTAGTAGATTTGAATTTCTTTCTCTCTCTGAGTCAAATTCCAAACATGCCTTATAAAACCAGTCATAAAATATACACATAAACTAACTGTTTTTGTGTTTATAAGTAGATTCAAAAACATACAGTGGTAAAACTATATCCCAAATTAAAATCTGTCCACTTAAATGGTGTTCTGTTTTGTTTTTTAACACTTAGATTACTTTTATCACTGTTGCTTTTGTAATTTGATTCCCAGATATTAGACAAACATATCTAGGTAATTCTCTGTATTGTATTGAAACATGGTCTTGATTGGGAGCTTAAACTATCATCTCACAAATGATCCTCAGCTGTGAAAAGAATCAATTGTTCTGAATTTGGGGCTATCTACACCATGGTTAATATGTAACACCACTACCAAAATTACTTTCTTAAATTCTGTTTTGATGATCTTAAAAATAATTTGTATTCTTTATTTTTATTTTTCTTTTCTTCTTTACCAACAGGACACAAAAATCGCTTCATTGGAGCGAAACATAAGGGATCTTGAGGATGAGATCCAGATGTTAAAAGCCAATGGTGTGCTGAACACTGAGGACCGCGAAGAAGAGATCAAACAAATTGAGGTTTACAAAAGTCACTCCAAGTTTATGAAGACCAAGGTACGGTCCAGGGTTATAAACTTTTATGTTCTTAGTGTGACTAGAAAGTTACAGTTTACATATGTACTTTTTCCAAATACCCATATAATATGCTTTATGTGATATTATTTAATATATGGACAACAAAGGAGAATGCAGAAGATTTTTAGTTCAGACATGTAGATTCCAAAAAGCAATCACGGAAAACCTTTGGTGGAATTTCTCCTTACTGAGAGGTTCAGGCTTTAATTAGGAGTTCCTTTGGTGTTCCTCTTCCTTGGGAAGTAACATATTTATAGTCCACTCTCTTCCAAATTTCCACCATCACTTAAGTTTGCTATTTTTTTGAAGTTGCTATCGTTGCCAAATTTCTTGCCTCTCCTAGAAGGTGTTTGTCTCAAAATATTTGCTATTACAAGCCAATTTAACTCATTTAAATGTTATTAGGTTGGGAGGCTGAGGCAGGCAGATCAGCTGAGGTCAGGAGTTCGAGACCAGCCTGTCTAACGTGGTGAAACCCTGTCTCTACAAAAAAATACAAAAATTAGCCAGGCATGGTGGCATGCACCTGTAATCCCAGCTACTCGGGAGGCTGAGGCAGGAGAATCACTTGAACCCGGGAGGTAGAGGTTGCAGTGAGCTGAGATGGTACCACTGCACTCCAGCCTGGGTGACAGAACAAGACTACATCTCAAAAGAAAAAAAAAAAGTTATTAAGCTATTGTGGTTTTAGCATAGTGTTTAAGACATAAATAGTTTTGAGTCCCAGTGCTGCGCTTTAGTTAAATTATTAAAATTCCCTAAGCCTCTGTTTCTTTATCCATGAAATAGGGATAAGAAAAATACCTACATCATTGGGTTGGTCTGATGATTCCAGGAGATTATTCATTTAAAGCCCCTAGTCCCTTGTCTGATCTCTAGAAAGTATCCATCAAATGTCAGGCATTGTTGTTGATAGTAGTATTAATGTTACTAATAATGTTATAATAGTAACATTAATATGGACTAATAGATTCCATATCTATTGCTATGGAATCTTTATAAAATATTTTAGAGTAACCTGCTCCATTAGTTTATATTGTTATTGTCAGTTTTAAAGATTTTGGATTGTATTTTTTCAAAAATAAACTTGGGGCTTTAAAAGGACCAAGCACCTGAATATTTATTATTTTTACATATGCATAATTATTAAATTTATGAATAGCCCAAATAGGTCTTTTGAGACTGTGAGATGCTTTTATCTATTCCTCTGTTTAAATCATTTTGCTTCTGAAAATAATAACTACACCAATTAAAAATTTTTTGTTCTTTTTTCTTTTTCTACCACGTGCTCTTAAATATGCCTGTTCTCTTGTTCTAGGTTTTAATCTTGTTTGTTACTTTATGAAATGCAGTAGAGTTGGAGTAGTGCAGACCTCTGTGAGAAAGCAGTGGGAGAGGAGAGAAAAATGTTTAAATGATTTTTATCAGTTGTGAAATATGTGCATACTCCTTGCTGAGTTTGCAAATTATAGGGAGGAAATGATATCTATCTAGCATTTACTTCATCACAACATGTGTGTGTGTGTGTGTGTATGCATGCATGTATACACAAGGAAAAAACACAAAACTATTCTTCTGTCAACTTTCCATCTCTAACTAGATGTTGAGATTGTGCTGAAAACATGGATCAAGGAGTGGAGATGAGGGATTTGAATCATCTCCACTGGATTTGATTGTAACCAGGGACTGCCTCAAAGTTTCTAATAGGTTTCCCTGCTCAGTCCTTCCTCTGGTTTCTTCCTTGCAGTCCCTCCCTCTCAGAGAGTTAAGCCGAGGTTCGGTGAGCACAGTACTAGGGTGACCTGCATACAGTGCCTGAATCATTCTGGGAATGAAGACCAGAGGCACAGATACGAGCGAACTCAAGAAGTTTGGGGGAAATTATTGTTTTGGCTTAAACTTTTCCCCCGACTCTGTTATTCCACAATGGGAGATTGTTCAAGCCACTTCTACAACTGAAAATGTCATGAAATTTGTAAACTCTGCCCCTCATCATGGACTCTGTCCAGGTGAATAAAACATTTATATGATCTTCAGCAAGTCATGACCTTTATTAGCCCACATTTGTCTGAGAGACCATCAATCCTTGAGTTAGATTTAACTTTTAATGGCTAGTTACTTTTAATGGTTCCAGAAGTGGTCAGGTCAGAAGAATGTTTGAGGGAAGTAGTAGAGTGAGGTGGAAAGACCACAGGCTGAAGATGAAAGCAGACTCCAGCAAGTCTCCAGCCTGCCTTTGCCAGCTGCATAGGGAGTGACTTGAGGAGTGACCAAAGTCACTCGACTACACTGTCTTCTATAAAATAGGGGCGACAGCACCAGCCTTACAGGATGGTTCAGATGGACTAAATAATATTAAAATGGAATAGTGTAGTTAAAGTACCTGGCTCAAAAAACCAGCTAATAATGATAAATATTATTATTGAAGAAGTATAACCAAATAATAATCATTACAATAAGTGTTATATTTAACTTGACTAATGGGAAAAATGGATTTCTAAGAAATACAAATAAAATGAATTCTTACATCATGCGGATACCTCTTTTACTGTTAAAAATTAGCTAGAAAGTACTAGTAAGGGTCAGTTTTTAATATTTTCTCCATTGAAAGAATGTTCTTATTGGATTGAACTATAACATTTATTGCTAATGTTTCCTATCATTAATTACTTACTTTTCTTAATTCCCCTACTTGGTTTTTTTGTTTGTTTGTTTGTTTTGAGACAGGGTCTCACTCTGTCACCCAGGCTGGGGTGCAGTGGTATGATCTTGGCTCACTGCAGCCTCCGCCTGCCAGGTTCAAGTAATTCTCTCACCCCAGCCTCCTGAGTAGCTGGGATTATAGGTGCGCACAACCACACCAGCTATTTTTTGTGTTTTTTTGGTAGAGATGGGGTTTCACCACATTGCTCAGGCTGGTCTCAAACTCCTGATCTCAAGTGATCTGCCTGCCTCAGCCTCTCAAAGTGCTGGGATTACAGGTGTGAGCCACCACACCCAGCCCAATTCTCCTACTTTGAGTGATGAGTGTAATTCCTCATTTAAGCCTGGGAATACTGCTTGCATTACTTATTAAAATAAATAAATCATGTAGATTGGAGGGAAAGAAAGTATTTTAAATAGGCACGTGGAAGAGTGTGCAATTCCATCGTGATCCAGAGCAGGTAGTTGGAACTGGTAGGGTTTCTTGAAAGCTCTGTGATTAAATTAAGTATCAGTGAATGCCTGAATTGCTTTTACAAATATGATATCATAGAAAAAACATGATATAACATTTTTGGAAAGGTAGAAGGTAGGTTGCAAAACTCAAGTTGTACAAAGGCAGGAATACAAAACATAGTCAGCCAGGGTAGAAATCCTGGCATCTTGCAAGTCCTTTGGCATGAACATTGTCTCTGAGAACTGAGCCTCTGGGAGATCTCAGATGTGTAACTCTCATCTGTTGGAAACTCTACCCCAACACTGAAGGGTTAGAGGAATCAATCTGTGAGAGATGAATCTCAGAGGCCATGGAAAGCATGAATTACTTTCAGGAGCTCCATTAAGCCTCGGAGAATGGAACATACCAAATACATAATTGTTTTTCTGGTAGGGAAAGAATAATGGCATTTCCTTTCTGTACAAGGCTTCGTTCCTAGTCTAACACGTTTTTCATCTACTCATTCCAGTATTTCTATATTAGCTACTCCCTCTGTTTCCAGTGTTTGCCAGAGATGCCGATCTGCTGTGTTAGATCTCCTCCTTTATTCTGAATTTGTAACACATTTTCTTATAAACTTCTGATAGATTACAAACCTCCTAACCCAAACTGCATGATAGTAAGCATATCACTTTCTAGACATGAGGGCCATATCTGCAGTGAAAAAGAAGCTGTTTTCCTTGGCAGAGTGTTTTTTTTTCAGGGTGTAGTTTGTGTCATAGACGTAAGTGGGGGAAGAATTTTCAGACAGGATGAAGTGTGCCTGATGTCCACATGGACTTCATATAAAGCATGTGATGTAATTCCGATTGGCTTTTCTTCTGGCCATCACAGAGACAGACCTTTCTTGGCCTCAGTTCTTATGTATGTTCGATTGCATCACTTTCCATTTTTATGGAATTTATGGCTGTAAAAGAAGCAAAAGGCATATTTTTATGGGAGAATATGATTTTTTTTTTACCTTGTGACTATGTTCCCTTTAGAAAAGCTTTTTTCTGTTATTGTCTGCATAAATATTTATTTAAAATTTACCTTATGGCAGCAATATCTGAAAGCTATTTAGAGCCACTGCCTATTTAATATTTATAGTCTTAAATAGTTTCATCATTATCAATCTATTTTTATTGACTAAGGGAGGTATATGTAGAACCTGCCATGCCCTTCTTCCTGACTAAACCCCATTCTCTATATCCAGTTGATTTCCTTTTCATTTCCCTCTCAATACCCCAACCCCCACACTAGCTTTCTACTGTGGGATTTGTGGAAGTTAGCACAAATCAGTTTTTTCACTATAAATATCATCTTTGCTTAGGTGTGTCGAGTTGAAAGTTTTTGAGCGTTAATTTCAGATGAATCAGTTTCATATGTGGAGTCGACTATAAACTGTGCTGTCAGCTACAACTGGACATGATTTGGGGCCATACCCCCCTGAGAAGAGTGCTGGTCATAACAGATTTTAATATCTTTTATCATTTTAGGTAATCCTAATTCTGATTTTCCCTGTTTTTATTTATACTATATTCTTGTTATGTATGAGAGAGAACTTCTTACTTTTGTTCCACATAAAAATGACCACACACTCATGATTCATTAAATTATAGAGAAATAATGTATTTCAGATACTGCACCTATCTGAGCAGTGCTCACTTGCTCACATATACCTGGGGCACATTGATAAACAGTCATGATTCTTTCCCAGTGAATATTTAAGCATACTTAGGATCCTTCTCAAGACTGCTTTTTGTTTAGCCACTACTAATCCTTTAGATTTGGCTAGCAGGATGAAGCTTGTTTGTTCCCTGACATAGTCTGACTTCTTGCAAATGGGATTTCCATTCATATTAACCTTTCTACTAAGTTGTGCAACCTGAACCCTTCTGAACATGGGAGTCTCACTCCTGTTCATGCTCAGCTGATATTGTCAGTAGCTTGTTATTGTTTATGTCAGTTTTCTTGCTGAAAACAACAAAAATTGTTGAATGAAGTATATTTTTAAACGTATATTTTAAAATGTACTTATGAGCTCTTGAGTAAGAAAGAACCTCAAGGGTCAAAGCTAAGCCATAGCAGGAAGCTTGTGTGATAAGTAGAGCATGGGTTATGTATTAGTCTGTTCTCATGCTTCTAATAAAGACATATATACCCAAGACTGGCTAATTTATAAAGGAAAGAGCTTTAATGAACTCACAGTTCCACATGGCTGGGAAGGCCTCACAATCATGCCTGAAAGCAAATGAAGATCAAAGTCGTGTCTTACATGGCAGCAGGCAAGAGAGCATATGCAGGGGAACTGCCCTTTATAAAACCATCAGATCTCATGAGACTTATTCACTGTCATGAGAACAGCATGGGAAAGACTGACCCTGCCCCCATGATTCAATTACCTCCCGCTGGGTACCTCCCAGGACATGTGGGAATTATGGGAGCTACAATTCAAGATGAGATTTGGGTGGGGACACAGCCAAACCATATCAGGTTATTTATCCTTGTTGGCAATTTTCAGATAGATGAACTTGGGCTCTGGTTTTCATAGCCACAAGGACATTGAAGAAAAGAGACAGAAGTCTGGGCCTACTCAAGATGAGGGATAGTAGGAACCTTATTACCACCACCACATGAAGCTGGGATCTCAGATGGCTATACTGCTAGTGCAGAGGCAAACTAAAAATAACCTTACCATATTCCCCCTCCTCACACTTAGACTAGGGGACTCCAGGGAAAATTTTCTGTTTTAAAACTTTAAGCCAAGTAAAAGATGAAAAAATTTGTTCTCAGAATCCATAACCACAGCTGGCTCTTACATGAGTGTGCTGTGCAAGATGATCTAAAAACTTCAGGTAGAGAATGGAGCTTAAAGCAGCTACATTCTTGGTTGGTAGTGTACTCAGGTATTGGCAGAGGCAAATTCTCTAAAGGACCAAATAGGCCTTAAAGTATTTTTCCAGATAAAGTTCCAAAAAAAAAAACTAGTACACAGTACCAAAAAAGGAGAAAAATCACAAAATCTTCAGGAAAACAGGCCACTATAAGTGATAGTCAGTAGAAAGAATAAACAGCAGAATCAGAAAGCAAATACTTCAAAAGTTGGAATTATAAGAAAAAGACTATGAAATATTAATGTGTGTTTAATATGTTTAAATAAATAAGGGATTGAAAATATAAATAAAGAGCAAGAGACTATAAGAAACCAAGCAAACTTAAAGATAACCAAATCAAGCCTTATAGTCTGAAGGATTATCTTAGGAATGAAACAAGGCTGAAAATTAGTATGATAAGCATCCAACTTAAAAAGTTAGGAAAATAGAATAAGCCCAAAGAAAGTAGAAGGAAGGAAACATTTAAAAGCAGCAGACATGAATGAAACAGAAAATAAAAGTGTAATTGCAGAGTCAATATAGCCAAAATTGGTTCCTTGATTAGAATACTTTACTTGACATGTGTCTACTGAGATTCATCAGGAAAAAGAGTGGCTAAAGCTAAAATAAAACTTAAAAAAAGAGAGGTTAATAACGTAGAATATTAGAAATGAAAAGGAAGACATAATCATAAATACTATTGATACAAAGATAAGTGGGTTTTATAAACATTTCCTGCAAATAAGTGTGAAAATTTAGATGAAACAAAAAATTCTTTGGGGAAAAAAATGTATCAACACTGACTCAACTAATTAGAAACATGAATATTCCTATAGCCATTAAAAGTGGATTAGTAAGTAATGTTCTTTGGAAAAAGAAAATAGCAGCTATGAATGGTTTTGCTGGTGATTTCTAATGAACATTAGTGTAAAAAAACCTCCAATTTCACAGAAACCATTTCCAAACACATTAAAAGAAGGAACACTTCCTACTTCATTTGGAGGGCTATATTGGTATTAAAACCTGATAAGGACAGCGTAGGATAGGAAAATTATAAACCAATCTCAGTCATAAACAGAAATAAAAGATCCTTACAAAATATTAGTAAGCTGAATACAGTAACATATGAAAAATATATAATGACTGAGTGGAGTTTTTCATAGTAATGCCAGGGGAGATTAAGGTTAAAAATTTCATTAATGCGATTCATTACAATAACATATGAAAGTTGAAAAATGGTGATAAACCATAAGATACAGAAAAAAAGTTTGGTGATGTTAAACATTCACTAATGATTAAAGAATACTTTTGGCACAGTTGTAATAATGTGAAGCCTAATAAAATGTCTATAAAAAACCAATGCAGACACAAAATGTAATGACGAAACGTTGACATTCTTCCCTTTGAAGCCTGAAACAAGACAAAGGGTCTGCCATGACCAACAGGCCTCTGTCTTTCTGCATGGCCTGTCTATGTGTCTGGTGTGGTCTTCCTCACACCATGGTGGTCACAGAGTGGTTGAGCTTCCAGACCATGGTGGCTGGCTTCCAGTGGGTAGAAGCAGAAGCTGCCAGACCCTCTGTAGGCTAGGGCTAGAACAGGTGTACTAATTATTTTGCTGCATTTGGTTGGCAGAAGGAAGTCACAGTCCAGCCCAGGTTCAAGAAGAGGGTAAACAAACTTCAGCTCTAGTTGTGAGGAGCAACATTTGTGTACAAGTAGGAAGGAATGAAGGAATTGGTAGAAAGTCTCTGCAGATCATCTACCTGCACAACACATATCAAATTGGCAAAAGTGTAAAAGACCCGTGACATAAGTTATTGGTAAAGAGATGGAGTGATTGGCTTACTTGCAAGGTGCTTGTGATCATGTAAATTAATAGAACTGTTTTGGAAAACTTTTTTTTGTTTTTGTTTTTTTGTTCCCCCTATCACCCAGGCTGGAGTGTGGTGGCGCCATCTCGGCTTACTGCAACTTCTGCCTCCTGGGTTCAAGTGATTCTCCTGCCTCAGCCTCCCAAGTAGCTGGGAATACAGGTGCCCGCCACCATGCCCAGCTAATTTTTGTATTTTTAGTGGAGATGGGGTTTCACCATATTGGTCAGGCTGGTCTCGAACTCCTGACCTTGTGATCTGCCCGCCTTGGCCTCCCAGAGTGCTGGGATTACAGGTGTGAGCCTTACGTTTTTGTTTTATCTAGTGAAATTGAAGATGAATATGCTATGTGGTTCAGCAATTTAAATCTTAGGCATTTGAAAATATTACTGCTATGTGAACTAGGTTATATGTATAAGAATATTCAGATTAGCACTGTTCATAGTAGCAAAAAGCTAAGAACAAACCCAAATTTCTATCAACAGCAGAGTGGGCAAATAAATTGTGGTGAAGTCTTACAATGGAATACTCTACTTCGGTGAAAATGAATGAACTCTATGTACAACGTTATGATTTAATCTCCAGGACATAAGATTGAGTAGGAAAAAAAGCAAAGTAGAAAAAAAAAATTGTAGCCCAAATAAAGTTTTAAAACATGCAAAACCAAATAGTATATATTTATGGATGCAAAAATATATGATCAACCTAAAAGATAAGCAAAGAAATAATAAACACAAAATTTGGGGTGGTAATTATTTCCAAATGGGGAGAGGAGATAGAAATGGGATGGGACATGGGTAATTCTAGTGATCTTTTTTGGTGAATTGAATGATGGATTTTTTTTTGGTCATTTTTCCTTATACCTTATGTATATTTTATGTTCTTTTGTATCTTCTCATTATTTAATGTAAGCAAAAAGAAGATCCCCAATGCTTACTTGTTTTTTAGGATTCTTTTGCCAAATCTTGCCCTTGAATGATTATTTGCACTGTGGAGTTATGCCTTGGTTTAATTACCCATGTTAGATCCCTGTTGACTCTCCTCAGGACCATGGTGGTAACAGACTTGGTGGTTTCATAGATGAGTAGGTTTGACTGGGAAGGCTTCATTCCATTGTGAAATTTGGTCTACAGTGGGATGGAGGGCAGTCTGCTGACCTTTCCATTCCTATTTCCTATACTCTCAGTGACCTTCACAGATATTCCTCCAGAACCCAAAGACTGTGTGATTCCTAAGGCCATCTTTTTAAAGCAAATTCATGGCCTGCCTTGTTGAATTATTGATCACTGGCTGCTGAAATGGAAAGAAATCAGTAGTTGTCCAGTGTAAAGGGTAGGGGCAGCAATTTCTAATTTCTTGCAATTTTGTTGTTGTTTTGCAGATTGATCAGCTGAAGCAGGAACTTTCAAAGAAAGAGTCAGAACTTCTTGCCTTACAAACAAAGCTTGAAACCCTTAGCAATCAAAATTCAGATTGCAAGCAACACATTGAAGTGCTCAAAGAGTCGCTTACTGCCAAAGAACAGAGGGCTGCCATCCTTCAGACTGAGGTAAGGCACTGTCTCAGGATTCTAGACAGCAGAGACATGGAATTGATAGAAAATGCCCTACCTGACCAACTTTCCTCAGAAGACCCTTTATCCAAACCCTTGGGGCCAGATGTATTTTGAAATTCATATTTGTTGGGCTTTCAGAAAGACGAGATGCATTGTATAGATTGTGTAATACTGCAAGTGAAGTTGTAGCAACACCCCATAAGCAAACACATGAATATTTTTGCATTAAAAAAAAGTCTTACACTAAGTAGGATAAATAAAGACTGTATAATTAGACTCTTGTCAGTTTGCGTCAAAGGTGTTTGGTTCACACTTGAAATTTCTTTTTTTCATACTTCAGAGCATTTTAGATTTGGTAACTACAGTTAAGGGCTTGGATCTAGAATGATTGCATTTTATCAAAAATCATAAAATAACTGGAATGTCGTCTTTCTTGCTTTGCTGTGCACCATCTGTATGGGTTCCCCTTCTGGCACCCATGTTTCCAAACAGTTCTTATTTACTAAGGAATATCTTTCAATTTCTTTTACCCGTTGAAGAAAGTCGATATTTTGTGAGTTTCTCAAAGGAAATATTGGTTTGTTATCTCTTATTCATGTTTAGAAGAACAACAAAAATATATTACTATCCTATTTCCTTGCTTTTTCCTCCTTGGATTACATCTTTGGGTCTGCTAAGAAATGCAAAACACAAGCTAGTTATTGTGTGAATAAAATAGTTATCAGATGCAGCAGGCAATAGGGACAAATGTGGTGAATCTTGATTTTGTGTTGAGGCGCTGTGCTGTGTGCATTACTTTAGAAGGCATTCTAATCAACATGCATGCTCTCTCTTGGGCTCTTTTAGCTGTGTCTTTGCATGTATGTATTTTAGCATCTGTGGGGAGGTTTGGATTGGCCTTAGGAGTTAATGGGACTGTTGAGTAGGTCTGTGCTCTCAGTCAAGGTGCAGGACAGTGTCTAGAGGAGGAAGAAAATACTTTCTGGATTGGATAGGTCTTAGCATGAACCTGACTCAGCCCCTATACTTTTGATCATTGACTGATAGGCAGCTACCTGATTACTTCAAAACAATCACCTTGGCCTCAGTGATGTAGATATTTCACATTTAAGAAATACCATTTTCAGTTGTGTGTAGTTCCACTGTGAATGCAAAGGTATGGGTATTTTATTTTTTAAGGCAAACATATAATCTATGCTATAAATTGGAAGTTGGCTTCTATCTCCTTTGTGGAGGCAGCAGTGAATAGTATCTAGAGTTGTGTTAAGATGGTAGCCACATGTGGCTATTTAAACTAAAATTAATTAAAATCTAGTGAAATTTAAAATGTAGTTCTGTAGTCACATTAGCCGCATATCAAGTACAACAGTTACATGTGGCTAGTGGCTACTGTATTAGACAGCACAGCTAGAGAACATTTCTACCATCTAGTACTTGTCTCAAATGGGGGTCAACCAAAACTATGGCTTGTGGGCCAGATCTGGCCCTGTGCCTGCTTTTGTAAGTAAAGTATTATTGGAACACAGCCATATCCATTCATTTACATGTTGTCTTTGGCTGTTTTTGTGCTACAACAGCAGAGTTGAGTAGTTGCAATAGATATTGTATGGCCCACAAAGCTGAAAATATTTACTGTCTGGCTTTTTACAGAAAGTTTGCCAATTTCTGGCATTGTGATTTTGTGGGAAGAGGATTGAGTGGGCATTGGAATGCCCAACTAGTCTTCTGTCTGGCTGTGGTACCCTAAATGGAGAAAGATAGTTTGCTGACAGCTGTTCTAGAGCACTATTTTTCTTCACTGTATTATTCAAAAAGCAACTGCTTATACCCATGTTTTGTCAATAATACCAGCATTACTGATAAAATTAGTGTAATTGTGTTGCTGTGTGTTGTTGGGTAGGAGAAAATTTGAGAAGCAAGGCAGTCTGCTTGCCCAAACCAGCAGTCAGGTTTCTTGATGGTTCCTCTCCAGAGTAAACGAATGAGGAGCCAGGTCAGAAAGGCTTTTCCTCTACTATCTTATACTGATGGAGGCTTTATTCCTTGGCCTCTTTCCTTTCTCATTCCCCTCCTTGTATTTTAACTTCTGTCAAATTAATGTATTCCAAATTAGACCTATACATATTTCATGAAAAAGACAGTGGTGACATTATGTGGATAGCTTCCGTCCCACATTCAATAATTAAAATGACCAAATAAAGAGATGGTGCTTTGAAGTAGGAAAAAATTATTCTCCATGTGCAGAGAAAGTGAGATGATTTTCTAAGTCTTCTGCTTTGAAGTTGGGAGTATGAGATTACTGATTTTATCAGCTGGTAATGGCTGAGGAATTTTCTTTTGCCTTTTTTTTTTCTTATAAGATCTCTTTTTATATGGAAACAGAGGAGAAACTTACCTAATACGTCTGTCTCTTAGGGGGAGCAATTTAGGTTGAAATTGCTCTCATTGTTGGATTATGAGCAGAAGATTTTTTGGCAGCAGGGTAGAGTACTTTAAAGTGATTTCCCCACTCTTTGGGATAGCAGAGGTAAATAAGAGTCTTTCTGCCTACTGTGTGGTGCGTTAGTGGGTGAGTACTCAGAAGATGAGATATGTTGTATTTCCTTATGCCCTACAATGAAATATCTGAGTTTAAATTCCTGTGAAATAATCTGCACACCAAACCTGTGAAACACAATTTACCTATATAACAAACCTGCACATGTACCCGTGAACCAAAAATAAAAGGTTAAAAAAAAAAAAGATATGATGCTCATCCTCAAAGGAGGTTACATGTGATAGCTCCCTGCAATTTGATTCCTGAGTCATTGCTGAAAGCTCTCACCAAAACAGAAGGGGGCTGGCTCTCTTTAGAGTGGGAAGACTCCTGCTATATCTGTGTCATCAACTGGCTTTGGCTGCTCTTTTAGCATAGTATAAATGACAGATATCATGGCTTAATGGTTCATCTCTGTAAGGAAGGTTTTGCTACCAGGGAATTTGCATTTGGGAGTTGGTAGGATGAAGGGTGGGGTGAGGGGTAGGAGGCAAGTTGTCTTGGTTTGCGGCTATGTGGCTTGGCTCTTTGGTTGGTTTGTTTGAACTTGTACAAATGCCCAGACACTCTGACATGTGTGCAATAAATCAATAGAATAATAATTACATACACAGAGAGATACACCACATAGCTCTTAACATAACATTTTACTTTTTAAAATAGCTTCAAAGAACTCTAAGGCCAAGTTTCTTATTTTGCTACTGCCCTTGATGTTTCCTTCATACCAACTAACCCCATCCACCAACACATGAATTCCACGGCAGTAGAGAAAATAATGAATTGGAGTTTTCTAGCACCTTGATTTTTCTGGATTTCAGTGAATAATTAATAACATATCCATAAACTGGGAAGAATTAAGGCCTAACATTTATTCTGTGATCTAAGGTAAAATGTCGAACAAAACACAGCATTTAGAAGTGGGAGTTGTGTGGCTATACCTCAGTCTCCCTATTCAATAACTGTGTGGCGTGGACAAGACTTGAACTTCTCTGAGCCTTCATGTCACAGTCTATGAAATGGCAGTCATTGTATCAGCCTGATACATATATGTGAAAAGTGCTTTGATTATAGTCAAGGGTTACAGCTATAAATTATAGTATCACCATTGCTGTTTTATTATCATTACTAATATTATGTTTGTCAGAGATGTTTGGGCAGGTCACACCTGAATACTTTTGTCATCAGCTTTGTAGGTCTCTTTTGAATTTTTGGTATGTGCATTTATAGACCTCGGACTTTTATATTTCAATTGAGTCACTTTGTTATGTCTTAGAATGATATGGAGAAATAAAGATACTATGAAAGTGACTATCTCTTTTGTTCTATCTCCAAATTAAGATTTTTATTTCTGGCTGGGTGTGGTGGGTCACACCTGTAATCCCAGCACTTTGAGAGGCTGAGGCAGGGAGATCACTTAGGGTCAGGAGTTTGAGACCAGCGTGACCAACATAGTGAAACCCATCTGTACTAATAATACAAAAATTAACCGGATGTAGTGGTACATGCCTGTAGTCCCAGCTACTTGGGAGGCTGAGGCACAAGAATCACTTGAACCTGGGAGGCGGAGGTTGCAATGAGCATGAGCTGAGATCATGCCACTGTACTCCAACCTGGCTGACAGAGCAAAACTCCATCTAAAAAAAAAAAAAAAAAAAAAGAAAGAACGAGAGAGAGATATATATTTATTCCTGATTTCTGGCAAGTATACTTTTCTCCAACTCAGTGTGATTTGTAAACTGCCAGGCAACATTTTTGCATGTGCTTCCCAAGATAGGTTATAGGACAGTGGTACATAATACTAATTTCTGTCCCAAATAAGCCAGAGAAGGATTCTATAGTACTTGTCTAAGAGTAAACACTTGAGAAGCCATTAATTAACAAAGAATGCAGGAGTTTTGTGTTTATGCAGACAAGGGCAACGGAGTGGCAGCTATGAAGCAAGGGTTCGTAACTTCTAAAAAATACAATCAACACAGAAGACAATCTCATGCAATTAAACCCCCCCACCAAAAAAGAAAAACATCCACATGGGCACATACATACTAATACTCACATGTAGTAGTGTATATAATTTCAGGTGGTTTATAGATGCTCTAGAGCATTTCCAAGAACTTCACATCAATAACCTTTGCTCTCTGGGCTTCATGCATTTTTTCATTTAACACATACTTTTTGAATGCTTACTATGTGCCAGATATGGTTTCTGCTGTCACTGAGCAAACATTCTTTTAGGCATGTGGATATATGTTAGAGAACTGATTTATGGTACCATAAACTCCCAGTGATTTCATTATCATTGGTTACTAATAATTCCACAGAGAATCTTGATCTTTCTTTTGTTGTTTAAAAGCAGATAAGGAAGGAAAGAAGACACAAAGAAATAGATGTTTCACTCCTTTGAAGACTAAAATATGCAACTGTTCAAAGTGCCTATTTGTATCTCTTATAATTGAAGGCT